ACTGATGGGTTGCAGCATGGCATGTAGTTGGTCAGCCGGTGGTATACCAATGGACATGGACGTCGCCATCTTGTCACTTTCACTTTCGGTTGATGTTGACCTTTTTACATTACAAATTGCGCATAGCATCAGGTCGCCTTGGCACAACTTTACACCCTTTCTGGCATTACAATCGTGGCATTTCATGATGAGGTAGATAGATCTATACGCTAACGAGTAAAAACTTAAAATATAGCTCGGAGCATCTGCAATTGCATGTGGTCTACCGGAAAGCGCCCTCTATTAATCCTATCAAATGCCTTTTCCTGGTCAATGACAACAATAGCCAGGGGTGAGTTAGTTAAGTTGGCATAGTCAATACTGTCACGAAGTAGATTTATATTGTCATGAATATGCCTGTTAGGAATACTGCAAGTTTGGTCTGGATGAATAAGGCTGTCTAAAACACCGCGCAAATGCAATGCAAGCGATTTAGTGAAAATGTTGTAATCGCTACATAACAGACTCACAGGTCGCCAGTGTTTTACGTTGGTAACGTCACCATTTTTAGTGAGAAGAGTGACCACGGCCCTTGTGCAGGATCGGGGGAGCACAGTTTCGTTTGTGGCAGCAGTGAATACATCGCACAGATCACCTCCAATGATTAGCCAAAACGTTTTGTAAAATTCATTTGGTATTCCGTCGATACCGGGAGTACGTCCATGGGGAAGTAGTTTAACAGTGGCACTCAGTTCGTCAAACGTGATTGGTTTGTAGAGGTCATTACGATCTGTTTCATTTAGTTTCGGTAGCCCTTCAAGGAGGTTATTTTGAGTTTCAATGTCAATGTTATCAGGTGTATACAGATTATTGTAATAGGTGTGTATCATTTTCCGTATTTCAGTTTGATTTTCAGTAAGAGTGTTATCCTGGTGCCTCAACTGAAAGATCGCTTTTTTGGTCCCCTTCTTTTTGTCTAACTGGAAAATGAAGGAATTGCAAACATCACTTTTATTTAAAAACTGATGTCGTGTAAGCCTTTGTGTTCACGTTGAACAGTGTAGTTGTTTACGAGCGGTGCATCGTGTGCAGTACAGCGTTCGATGGCTTTAATATCCCTTTTCAATGCTTGTTTTTCGGTTTTATATTTATCTTGTTTGAGTTTGCAATTCTGTTGTGTGAGTAATTTTATTTTATTTTTGCCAATATCCCACTATGTCTGTATATTTACATAATTGTTTCGAAGTGTTTGCCACTTCGCCCAAAAA